TGCAAAGAGATTGGATTATGGAAATACCGGTTTTTGAAGCATGAAGACGGGGCATGAACTGAAATGTGATTAGTTGAATGGTTTGGGCTGATCTGTCCGAAATGCATGTCATGATCATTGGAGCCAGCTGCTTCACTCAGATAAGTCCCTTTTCCATTCTTCTTCTAATAGTAATCTTTGTTCAAAATTTTCCTCTTTATTCCTAATTCTCGAAGTCACTTTGCTTCGTTTCTTTTGGGTCTATTCCTCTAAATCTTTTTCAATGTTAGCCTTGTTAAGCAAGCAAGAAAGGATTTCAAAGTCTACTACCGACTTTTAATTGCACACAACAAAGTTCAGCCAGAGCACATCACAAGTGGCATGATTCAGAATGAGCAATAAGGTGTTAATGGGAAAGTGATTCGTGCATTTTGAGGAAGCATAACGGTTCAAAATTGGCAGGATAGAGTTGTCAAACAACAAGTTGAGTGTAAGCTACTCGGGTCATTCAGGGTTTTTGTGGTTGAGGTTCGATCAGAAGGTCAAACAGTTCTTTGCTAGCCCAAAGCAGCTAATCGGAACAAAGCATGGCAATGGAAAGGCAGCCACCTTCAGCAAGGATGCCACAAACTAACCACCACACTTTCCAACAGACAAGATTTTCTTTGATTGAAACAGGGGCAGGAAATTTTGTTTGTTCTGTAGGAATCCTTCATGAGGAAGCATGTTCCAAATAGATTTAGTTTCAAGTTCTCATGACCCTCCTGGATAATAGGATTTAGTTTCAAGTTCTCAGGACCCTCCAGGATAATGGGATTTAGTTGTCAAGTTTTCAGGACCCTCCTGGATAATTGGATTTAGTTTTAAGTTTTTCAGGACCCTCCTAGATAATGGGATTTAGTTTCAAGTTTTTCAGGACCCTCCTGGATAATGGGATTCAGTTTTAAGTTTTCAGGACCCCCCTGGATAATGGGATTTAATTTCAAGTTTTTCAGGACCCTCCTGAATAATGAGATTTAGTTTCAAGTTTTTAGGACCCTCCTAGATAATGGGGTTAAATTTCAAATTTTCAGGACCCTTCTAGATAATGGGATTTAGTCTCAAGTTTTCAGGACCCTCCTGTATAATGGGATTTAGTTTCAAGTTTTCAGGACCCTCCTAGATAATGGGGTTTAATTCAAAATTCTCAAGATCCTCCTGGAAAATGGGATTTAATTTCGAGTCTTCAGGACCCTACTGGATAATGGGATTTTGTTTCAAGTTTTCAGGACCCTCCTGGATAATGGGATTTAGTTCTAAGTTGGTCAGGACCCTCCTGGATAATGGGATTTAGTTTCAAGTTTTCAGGACCCTCCTGGATAATGGGATTTAGTTCAAAGTTTTTCAGGACCCTCCTGGATAATGGGATTTAGTATCAATTTCTCAGGACCCTCCTAGATGATGGGATTTAGTTGTCAAGTTTTCAGGACCCTCCTGGATAATGGGATATAGTTTAAGTTTTCAGGACCCTCCTGGATAATGGAATTTAGTTTCATGTTTTTCAGAACCCTCCTGGATAATGGAATTTAGTTTCAAGTTGTCAGGACCCTCCTGAATAATGGGATTTAATTTCAAGTTTTCAGGACCCTCCTGGATAATGGGATTTAGTTTCAAGTTTTCAGGACCCTCCTGGATAATGGGATGTAGTTTCAACTTTTCAGGACCCTCCTGGATAATTGGATCTAGCTTCAAATGTTTAGGACCCTCCTGGATAATAGGATTCAACTAAACTCATGAATGCTCCTAGTCCAAACTGGGGCAGAAAAGTTTCTTTTGTTGTAGTGGCAGGCACCCACCTGGAGAACTAGGAATTCATTTCAGAGTTAAGTTCAAAGTCTAAGACAACAGCAGGAACCCGCCTGAAAAATAGGGACAATTCAAGTTAGAAGTAACAGAAGCTCGCCTCGAGAGTGCGAGTCAACAGTTCGAGATGCACAACGGAACGGTAGAAGATTCAAGATCAAATTTGGAAGACATATAGATAGGAATCTTGTAACTCATAGCTGATAGACTTGCCTAGCTTCTTTTCATTTTTGATTTCGGTGTAATAAGGAGTTCAGCAAGCAGTAACAGCAGCAGCAGCAGTGAAATCACAGCTTCTCGGTAGTCCCAGCTACCAAAACTTCTAGAACTACAGTGACCTGATTCCTTTATAGCCAAGGATATGTAGGCAACCTCGGAAGCAAGGTTCGGTCTAACTTTTTCAAAAGCGCTTCCCATGGAGTATCCAAATGGGCAAAAATCGCTTATATTCGCTCACTTTATCTTTGCCCGAAAACTCTTCGTGTTTCAGAGCGAAGAGGGGCAGCTGTGAGCACGTATTTTTTGCTCGACAAAAAATACTCCTACAAAGTCACAAAATAGATTTTCTAATTTATTTTATTTTTTTTAGAATTTTTAGGAATATCTTGATAATTGTTGGTTGCATTTTGTCGCATGTTTAATATTTTAAAATCATGAAAAATACAAAAAATATTTTATGCATTGCATTTTAGGTATTAATTGCATTTAAGATTTTAATTACTTTAGTTAATCACAAAATATAGGCCACTTTTTACATTTTTTTTTAGCTTTAGTTTTAAAATTAGTATTTTTCTTTCATTAGTTAATTAATTTTTCCTTTTAATGGTAGAGCTAGTTTATTAAATTCAGATTCAAATTAGGATTTATTGTAGGTTATGATTAATTTGAGTTTGATTTTTTTTAAAAGCAAGGGAAAAGAAGAAAAAGAAAGAACAAAGAGAAAGGAATTAAGGGAATTGAGCCTTGTTTAAATTTGGGCCAAACAGTGTCTAAGCCCAAAATCCCCTTAAAAAAAACCAATTCGATTCAACCCCCCACTTAATAAAACGATGTCGTTTTAGTAACGGCGATGTTAGTCGTTGATCTCCCTTGATCGAACGGCCCAGAACTCAATGCCCCATCCCTTATAACTGTCCTAAGACCCCCCCCCAAACCCCTCAGAACCCCCCCCCCCCATTTCCCCCATCTCTCACTCTAGCTCTAACCTAGCCGCCCCTAAAATCCTTCACCACCCGCCGCCTACCGCCTGCCGAAAATCGCCCCGCGGCGGCGGCCCCTCTCCTAACCTACCCAAATTCACATCCCATACTCCTCACATCAGCCTCGTCGTTAATCCACCATTAATTCCCCAAAAATCCCAACAGATTTTCTCTAATTTCAAATCTAGGGATTCCAGTAAACCTAATTTTTCTGCCCCCCTCATCTATGTTGTATGCCAGTGGCCCAGAGCCAAGCCAATTATCCCACCAAAAACTACATTCCCCATTATGAAGCCTCCAGTGAATTACTTTTTCTGCGTCTCTCTTATTGAACATCAATCTTTTCCATGCTTGTGATTGGCCTGTGTCCCATTTTCTGGATATGGGGTTTGATCTTTGGCAATACTTTGCCTTCAGGAAAGAGCTCTAAAGAGATTTTGCTGATCTGAAATGCCACCATTGCTTGAGTTCCATTGCTTTACATGAGTCATGAATAGTTCTAAAACATATACCACCTTCGTTGGAGGGGAAAGATAGCTTAGACCATGAGGCCCAGTGGTACTTGTGTTTGTCCTTATCCATTCCCCAAAAAAAGTTAGTTGATAACCTTTCAATTTGCTTCATGACAGTCTTTGGAGGAGATACTGGTGAGAGAAGGTGAATTGGTAAGGATTGAAGCACATACTTGATCAGAGTTGCACTGCCACCATAGGCTAGCATCTTGCCATGCCAACCTTTGATCCTGCCTACCACCTTAGAGATGAGACCACTGAAGTACATTATTCTGATCCTACTAGAAAATCTTGTCTCTACTTGAATTCTTCTGATAGCACTTGGCAGTGCACAGGGAGTAGTCATGAAGTGACTCTTGTGTCGGTTGATGAGTTGGCCAGATGTATTCTCATAGTTGCTAAGAATCCACATGATTTTTCTGAGGGAAGATCTTCTACCAGAGGTGAAGATAATGATATCATCAGCAAAACTTAGATGGTTGATTTGAGGACCTCTCTTTTCCATGTAAAATCCATGGAAAAGCTGATCAGGGTTCAGAAGGTTGAGCATTCTAGACGATAGTTCAGCTCCTACGATGAATAGGGAAGGAGCTAGAGGATCACCCTATTTGAGGCCTCTTGTAGATTGGAAAAATCCATATCTGGTGCCATTAACTATAACTGAATACCAGTTGTTGGACCTTGTTCTCCAGATCATGTCAATGATCATTTCACTGAATCCCATCCTCCTATGCATAATACATGTGAAGCTCCAGGATACTCTATCTAAGCCTTGGCCATACCAAGCTTAATGACCACATTTGACCCCACAGTTGGCTTCATGATACCATGCACAATTTCTTGGGCAAGCATAATATTTTCAAAGATATTCCTGCCCTTTACAAAACCTGATTGGTTTGCAGAGATTATCTTTGGCAGTATGGGCCCTAGCCTTGAGCAAATAACCTTGGAAATAATTTTGTTGATAAAGTTGCTGAGATCGATTGGCCTAAATTCTGTGAGACTGTTAGGAAATTCAACCTTGGGGAGAAGAACAAGGCATGCATTGGTCATGTACCTAGGCATTGAACTGCCTCTGAAGAATGCTAGAACAACCTTGAGTAAATCTTCCTTGATGACTTCCCAACAGGATTGATAGAACTTCCCATTCATACCGTCAGGACCTACTGCACTAGTAGGATTCATGGAGAAAACTATTTCCTTGAGCTCTGTCATAGAAGGATCCCTGGTGAGAATGTCATTGTCATCACTAGAGATCATGGTTGGAATTATGGAAAGCAGGTTTTCCCTAATGACTGAACCAGGGTCTGTGAAGAGGTCTTGGAAGTAGTCAGGCAGCCTTCCCAATATTTTCATCACCTTGAATCCATTCACCTTCCTCATTCTTAATTTTGTGGATGAACAACATCCTTCTTCTTCCTCTGATTAAACTGTGGAAGTATCTAGAATCGGCATCCCCTTCTTTGAATCATTTTAGTTGTGTTTTCTGTTTCAGAACTTCTTGCTCAACCTTCAAATGTTTAACATATTGAGCCTTAAGCTCATTGAGAGTTGCTCTATCAGTATCATTGTTTGTCTGAGCCCATATCATCTTTGCATCCTTCACCTTTTGTTCAAATTCTTTAGCTTTTCGGAAGATGTCCCCATATTGTTGTCTAGACCAAAGACTTAGAGCATGGCTTAATGCTTTCCTTTTCTGGTGAAAGACCCACATAGCATTGCCTCTAACATCTTTGTTCTAGATTTCAGAAACCAATGGTAGAAAGTTTTTGTTGTCCACCTAACAGTTGAGGGATTTGAAGTACTTTTTATCACTGTCTTGTCTTGTATGAAGTTCCAAGAGTAGGGGTTGTGATCAGATCCTGTTGAAGCTAAATGAGAGATTGTGGCGGCAGGAAAGGCTTCCAACCGGTGATCATTGGCTAGTCCCCTTTCTAACCTTTTCCATACAATAGAACATTCCCCCCTTCCATTAGACCATGTGACTTTAGGACCATAGAAATCCAAATCCACAAGGCCACAATCCTCCATCATGCTCCAAAAATCAAGACTCTTGGACATCTAGTATGGAATGCCACCAATCTTTTCTTCAACAGAAGCAATGACATTAAAGTCTCCTATGACACACCATGGTACACTGCAGTTTGTTGATTTCTGCCTTAAAAATTCCCATAGTGTCCTTCTGAGAACTGGTTTACATTTGGAATAGATGACTGTTAGGTGAAACAAGTTGCCATTTTCAGCATGTTTCATCTCCAAAGACAGTTGTTGCTCATCATGATCTAGGACCTTGGCAGTGAATTCCTCATCCCCAAAAACCCAGATCTTATCATTGACATTAGAATCAGTTTCATGCATTGAGAGTTGGATTTTGAAGGAGTTGATGTGAGAGTTGTCTAAAAAAGGTTCAAAGACAGCTATGAAAGAAAGTTTGTGGATCTGTTTCAGGAGTTTGAGCCTTTGAATGGCTCCAGAGGTCCTGATACCTCTTACATTCCAAATAATTGTACTAATCATTGGAAGGAGGGTTTTAGGTTGTGTTTTGATGGGACACTACTACTTCTATTTCTAGTAGCTTTGCTCCTGGTTAACCTGGTGAGGGGATCTTTCTGGGAGGAACTGTTGCAGAAGCAGCATTTTTCTGGTTTGACTTTCCATTCACTGTAGCAATCAGGAGTTCACAAAGTTGTTCCTTTTCAAGATCTTCATCATTGGAATCATGGTCAACATCTTGTTCCCCAATTACTTCATCTTCTGATTCAATTGTCTGTACTCATTTTTCTATGGAGTGTCTAGAGGGTGCAAGTGATGGTTTTTTCTGGGAGTGCTAGTAGGAACTGAGGTGGATTTATGTATTTTGGAAGTGGGGTTTTCATCATTGGTGGGAAGGTCTGATTCATTACCATTTGAAGTTGGTTGTTTAGTGGGTAATAGAGGTCAGGAAAGGGAAGGATTGACTATTACTGAATTCCTATAAACAGGGGATTCCTCTATTGCATTAGGATCAGGCCTGAATTTTTTCTGGATTGTAGGGCTCAAAAATTGGGTAGTATCAGGTGGTTCATTGATGCTGATTCCTGCATTTTGTTTCCTCATTGCTTGTCTTCTCTTTTGACTGGGTTAATTTTTTGGTTTAGGAGGTTGTATGTTGAAATCAGTTGCCTTAGCTTTTCCTTTCAATAACCTCCTAATATGATCATCATCCTAAACTGAGAATTCCTCTTTAGAACTAGTAACATCATAATTCACAGGTTCCTCAGAGGACTGGACATGATGAGGATCATGGCTAGGAACAGTGGTAGCAGGGGTTTGACAGTCCAACCTAGGGTCAGCCAATTGTGCACTTGCACACTCATGCAAAACATGAGGAACTCCCACCCCTGAAGGTACCCCTTCCTGTATTTCTATAGGTTTCCCCTGACAATTGTCCATCCCTCCTTGAGCTTCTTTATCAGACAGAACAACAAGGGGCATGGCACTTAGTCTCCCATTTAGAAGATTAAGTTGGAAAAGTCAACCAAATATTGACTTATGTGTAAACGATATCGGATGTGAATACTGATCGTTTGGTTAGCTCCGTAGGTAATTTTGGATTTGGGAGCGCATCCGAAATATATTTTGAGGTCCATGGTAGAATTAGGCTTGAATTGGCGAAATCGGAAATTTGGCAATTTTCGGTCGGCAGTGAAAATTTTGATATCGAGGTCGGAATAGAATTTTGGAAGTTGGAATAGGTTCGTAGTACTATTTGTGACGTGTGTACAAAATTTCAGGTCATTCGGACGTGCTTTGGTAGGTTTCGGCATCGTTTGCCGAATTTGGAAGTTTAGAAGTTCTTAGGCTTGAATCCGAGGGTAATTTGGTGTTTTGATGTTGTTTTGACTGTTCCGAAGGTTCGACTAAGTTCGTATGTTGATATGTGACTTGTTGGTATTTTTTGTTGAGGTCCCAAGAGCCTCGGGATAAATTCGGATGGTTAACGAAGTGTTGGGAAGTGGAATAAGGCAGCTGAAGCTGCTGCTTCTGATGTTTCCCCACCTGCGGAGTGTGAACTGTTGCGACCAAACACACTCACTCAAGTATACGTGGTCATCAAGTAATAGAGTAGTGAGTAGAGTATCATTCCAATGAAGACTTGTGATTAACTATTGACTGATTCAAACTCAATTAACTTATTGATTCAAGAGATTTCTCACAAAATATAAAAGTGACTAATTTACTACCTAAAATTATCAAGCAATGAATTAACTAGAGACCAACCGAAACAAATAGCAATTTCAAATAACAATCAGTAGGAGAGAATATTCCAGGGTCACGGGTTAGCTAACAATCCTGTCGCGTTCTTGGTTTAAAATGACTAATTGATTTATCTGGATTGTTGATTGACAGTGTTGATATTACTCATAAGAATCTGTCGAGCCCTTACTCACCTATTCAAGTTAACTTAATGCCTATATGTCTATGGAATTAAGATTAACAAGAATGCATTTACAATTCCTGTATTTCAACCAAGCAAGGCAATTAGGTATATGTCTATCCTAATTGTGAATTCGTTCCCTGATGCCCGGGTTCAAGAACTTGCTCTATTTAATTCTATATGCAATCTAGAGTTCTCACTTTCGAGTTCAACTCTAGATTCGTAGATAGTATTTCACTGTTATCTACTCAGCAGAATAATTAAAAACAAAATTAAATAAACAACCCAATATGATAAAATCAACTTCGTCAAATTAAACTTCAAACATCAACATTCATGTTTCACCCATGACCCTAGAATAATAGGGTTCTTAGCCACTCATGTTCATACAATCGTCAAAAATAAGGTTTTCAAACATAAAATCAATTAGTACTAGAAAGGGGATGGAAGAATTGATCAAATCCGTGCTCCCGAGTGTTTGGCTCTTTTGTTCTCCTCTCAAAGTCATGTTCCCCCGTTCAAAATAGGTTTAGGTTGGCTTTATATCAGTTGGGGGCGTCTTGGGGTTAAAATAACCGAGTCCTAGTCGAAATAGGACAACTTCACATTCCGAGCATCCAGGGCAGCGTGGGGCGCTAGCCCTGGCGCCCAAAATATTTTGATTCTGTAAATTGCGCCACAGCTAGCGCCCCACGCTGGCTGTGGCCCTCAAATTTCACTTTTTGCTTTTTCTTCCCAATTCCGCTCCAATACGCGCCATTTCATCCCAAATTGCATCCGAATGATTCCTACACAAAGAAATACCACAAATGAGCATAAATCATTATACTATACATCCGTAATCTACTAGACATGAGCCAAAAGCGAGGCGATATATATCAAAATATACATACTTTAAGCCGATTATCAATACCAGATACTTAGACTCTTACTCATCCTCGAGCAATAGAATTATATCAATCCCCCAAAACATACTTATCACTATGAAAGAGCACTTCACAATTAATTCAATCAAACACCCTACCTTTGGACTATGACCGATATCGGCGATTAAGCATGAACACGCGAATTTTACATTCTTCCCGTTTTCGAACCAGCCCAAGTATATACAATGCTATTCAACCAACTCAAGCAACCTCTCCACAACCACCTTACCTCAATTGATGACTCGTTACACTAAGCATCCTCTGCTCACGCACTCACCCAATAAAAGAAAGTGTACAACATCACCAATCCGTCATGAGACCAAGTGCCCTCAGCACAAACAAAAGAGTGAATATCAATGTCCACACATTCAAATATGCCATTGAGCATAATTTAAGGACATCACACTATTGAAAAAAATTCACTCACTCTCACAAACAGTTCATGTGCATCCCATGGTCGTACCATAAGCTTGCCTGTAGTGTATATCTCTACTAATCTAAGCTAGCCAAATCTAGGATCAATTAGGACTTTAAGGTTGTAATGTAGGCTAAGGGACGGGTAGGATATATTTAGGAAGAGTGACTAATCCTCCTAAGGACTTTAATACACTACACTCACAAATCAAACACCTTTTCATTTCAACCCATTCACTTGTCATACACCATATATAACATAGCCCTCTTTTCAATTAAGCACCTCTATGGATTCACTAGCATGCGTGAGAAAGATTAGGAGGTGTGTATCTTTCTAGATTATTTGAACTTTTATTTTGCTATTTCTTGCAATATTTTTTTTTCTTTTTCTTCACACACTCCATGCATTGAAGTTAATAAGCTAGTGACCTTTATTTACAATTTTAGTGCACCTTAAGGGCCCTTCCATGGTTCCACCCAAAAGTAACTCCCCAATCTCTCCCCTTACTTCTTTTAGCGACTAAGTTCCTTAGGAGGTAAAGGTTCAACAATCTCGAATCAAGAACAAAGTAGGAGTACGGCTTGTAATGTGGGTGCCAAGGAAACGGTCTATAGGCTCAAAGGGGCTAGCAATGGGAAAATTTTATTTGTCAGTGACAAGCGCCTTCATGGTCAAGAAAGAAACGCATACGTCATCTCCTAGACTAGCACAACTTAATGATTTCACGTTGATTAACACACGAAGCAAGTTATAGACTACATAGGATAGCACAAAATATCAACAATCCTTACACACACATGGCACTTGACTCACTCAAGACGGTTTCTGTGCGACTCTCAAGTCAAGCAAGCATAGCAAGTTGAGAATTTTTAAGCAACAATGCACTAGGTGGCATACAAGTCAATCAACTGAGAAAAAGGTGTCACAGAGTAGGCTACTTACTTTACTTGGGCATTACAATTTAAATCACATATGCAGGAAGACAGAGCGTATTCCACAACTTAACTTGCCAACACCAAACATGTCAATAGGTCCTCAGAGAAATCTCAGTTTTCTCCCTTATCCTACTCCTAAAAAAAATAAACTAGAATACCCGGCTCGAGCTATAGCAACCTACACATGACAAACACAAAGATGAGAGTGAATCAAGAAATTTCGCCTAAGGTCATTGTGAGGGGAAAAGAGGACCCCACACTTAAAACCCGAAGGCTATGCATAATCGAATAACAATATGGGCTCAACATGCATCAATGTGTCATCCCAAGGCTATAGG